CTTGTTTAATTATAGAAACCATTTCTCATTTAGGTTTCTCTATAATTCCTTTGTCCAATTAGAAAAGCATGAGTTTGACTTTCACTGGATATACACGAATCACTCTATGGTCAGATGGACATTGATGTGAACAGGGGTTTGGACAGTTACCATTGTTTCACAGTTACCTGTGTGACCTTGGACAGGTCATTTAATCAGAAGCCATGGTCACACTTTTTGGATGGCCGGTAGTTTGTGGATAGCTGTCACGCACCATACAGGACTGGGTGTCCGTATTTAAGACTGGGAGTGTGTACTTGTTACATAATTGTCAAAATAAAATCTCAGTAGTCAAGTCCTAGCTTGTCTTTTATCTTGTCAAAATGTTAAACTTGGTTTTCAAACAGTAAAGGGTTCACGAGTTCTCTTAGAAGTTTTGAGAATTTAGAACATGAAGGTGACTGTATGTCTGTCTATGCATGACTGGGACATTGTGTTGTACCCCAGAAGTTGACACATTGTAACTGTACTTCAATTAAAAAAAAAAGTTTTGAGAATTTTACCTTTTTTACAGTCCATTGAAAGTCAAACTGAAAGACTGTAAGTAGACAAGTTAGGCTCTGTACAGCCATTGAAATGAATTAAGGGGGAAAAAAACAAACAAACCCCCGTAAGGTAAGCAGGCTTCGAAGGGTGCGCTGTACTCCTCTCTCCACGCCGGGGTGTCCGGTGAATAGAGTAAGCGAGGAGGGTGGGCAGCTTTGGAGCTGGGAGGGTGGGTGTGGCATCTCCTCGCTCCTGTAGGAGGGTGTCTCCAAGGTGGGACAGTTGAAGCTGGGGGCATAGAAGTACATTTTCTCCCCCTCTTCATTAGGTGACGCAAGTGCGGGGAAGGAGTCATGTGACCAGGGAGGTCCCTTGCAAGGCTGTGGACTATGTTTAATTGATGCATGCTCCTACTGAAATGTGTTCTCCACAAGGAAAATTAAGAAATTTCAATTTCACATAAATTAAAGTTAGTATGCTTTCATTTCTTAAAAAAAATTATGAGCGTAACCTGGTAAACCCTTAATTATCTTCAAATTTACATTCAATTTTTGTCACTATATGCATCGAATGCATTTTTACATTGTTATAATCTGTGTACTTGTTTGTGCTTTACTTTTCGCCTTATTCTGTATGTGTTTTATGTTATGTATAACTTAAAAGTATCAGCGTAGTTCACATGCTTTTCCTTTAACGGCCTATGAATTTGAATCTTGTTATTTTATCATAATTCATTTGGCCTTTCACTTACTTGAAGCTATTTGGAATGCTTTCAGTTTCTTGGTGTCATAAATGCTACAACTGAACGTTTTTGTTTTAGTGTGCCTTTCAATAGGCCTTACTTAAACATTGTTAAGAGAAACTCTTTAGATGGTGTATAAATATACTTTAAAAGTCAAAATGTCTGCTTTATAATGTAACAACATTGCCAGCCCTCTGATTCGCACACTTGGCTTCTGACTAAACAAAAATCAGGTTAAAAGATGCAGAGAGTCATCACAGTGATGCTGCACAGTGAGGTTTTAATGTGGAAAGTGCCCAAACTTTGAAAACAGCCCGTATTCCCCTCCCCTTTCTTGAGTTTGTTCTTGCTTCCGCTTACTTGCCTTTCTTTCCCCACAGTTGTTTGTTGCTGGTTTGATTGTGCTGCTGTTAGATGAGCTGCTACAGAAGGGTTACGGCTTGGGGTCTGGGATTTCCCTCTTTATTGCCACCAACATCTGTGAAACCATTGTCTGGAAGGCCTTTAGTCCCACTACCATTAACACAGGCAGAGGTACAGTGCACGGTGCACAGTGGCTGCAACTGCTGAGCGCGGCGGGCGGGGTGCTGCGCGATCCGGGGGTGGGGGGAGCAGGGCGCGCCCGGACATGTCCTGGTTTGCTGTCCCAGGCGACAGCGGATGCCAGTCGTCCCAAAGCCAGTAAGCAGAGGTTGGTGGAGTATGAAATATTACTTCAGAAAGAGGAATATCTAAATTTTACCCTCTGCTCATTTGAAATGTCAGTGGTTGCAGACATTTAAAAAAATTTATTTGCCTAAGTCATTGCTGTAGAAGTCATTGATTTTGACTGATTTCAGCATTCCTGGGGTGATAAAAAGGTAGTGGATTAAGATTTTTCCGATGAAAACCCTGTTACTGTCCCATCGGGGAGCACTAGTACTTCTGCTGCTGTCCTCGGCTTTGTACTGGCGCCTCAGTTCTGAAATGTTTCCTTGTCTTTCCCTTTATCCATCTCCACTTCTCTCACGTGCCATCCAGGATTTGTAATGGTTAAAGCCGAACCTGGTCCCAGTATAGCAGTGATGGTGTATTGATGTACTTGGTAAAATAAACTGAAAGGCAGGCTGGATAGAGTAACGCAGATCTTTTGGTTCTGACATCTTTATTCTCTTTGCTGCTGCCTCTCCCCATCTCCCCCCACCCCGCCCCCAATATTCTCTTCCCTTCCCTAAAGTAAAAAGCAAGGCAAATCGTTATGAACTAAATATTTGCTTTGGTTTATTATACTTTGTTTTCATCTAGAATAAATGTGAGAAAACTTCAGATTTATACTGAAAAAGGATACATTGCCTCAGTGGTGTGAAAAATACCTTTTAGAAGCTCCTCATGTGGCTGTATTGTAAACACTGTTCTACCTTGTACTGGAGCTTCAAGGTTATTTGTTTTGCTCTTTGGAGCAACTTCGGGTCGTGAGGCTAGAGCTGATTGCTGTCTTGCTCTGCCAGGTACCGAGTTTGAGGGTGCGGTCATAGCGCTCTTCCACTTACTGGCCACCAGGACAGACAAAGTTCGCGCTTTAAGGGAGGCTTTCTACCGTCAGAATTTACCCAATCTCATGAACCTCATCGCTACAGTTTTTGTGTTTGCTGTTGTTATATATTTTCAGGTGAGCCTACTTTCTTCACTGAAGTGGGGTGTGGTTTTTGCTTGCTCTTAAAGAGGAGAATGCCATTTGAAACGTCAGTAGCTGACGAATCAGCGCTTCGAAGTCTAGTTAAGCAAATGATTCCATTGTTTAGACTCTAAGGTGCGAAATCCTTGTGGTTATGAACTAGGAAAGGATTTCTATTCTCGTGTGTCTGTCGAAGGGAGAGTTTGTTGGCATTGTCTGTGTATGTTCCCCACTGGTAACTGTTCTGCGTCCCACCTGTGTTGATTGTGCAGTTCCTCTGACTTCCTCTGAATCTCTGTTTGCCAGGGATTCCGTGTCGACTTGCCCATCAAGTCGGCCCGCTACCGAGGGCAGTACAGCAGCTACCCCATCAAGCTCTTCTACACGTCCAACATCCCCATCATCCTGCAGTCCGCCCTGGTGTCCAACCTCTACGTCATCTCCCAGATGCTGTCAGTTCGGTTTAGTGGCAACTTTTTAGTAAATTTACTAGGACAGTGGGCCGTGAGTATTTTGCTATTTATTCTAAGTATTCAAGCTGATCGTAATTTGCGTTCCATGCTTCTGTTCTTCACGGGAAGAGATGAGCCGTAATTGAAGCAGCAGCTAGAACATTTTCAGACTCACTCACCTGTAGCGGAGTTCGTCGTTTATTTGGAAGGGTTGTAAAACTGCTGTAAAACTAAGATTGGCCAAGTACTGTTCATTATTTTACTGTCTAGGGAGCATTTTCATATCTCATTGGAGTGAACATCTAGGTGAAAAACGCAGTTGCTCTTATGAAAGTGATTCCCTATTTTGTAATCTTACTCCCCTGCTGTCTAGAATAACATTTTTCTCAAAGAAGCTATTTGCTGATTGTATGGGATACTGAAATCATCCACTCCTGCCTGCCTCGTGGTTTCCACGGCCCAAATGGCAGTCAGCTATTTGCGATTAACTGGAGAAAGGCATGTAATTACTAGACTGAAGAGAGAACAGAGTTGTTAGAAGTAGAATCCAGTGCGTCCCGACTTCCTCTTTCACATCCCCTTCATCACGGCCTCCCCTGAAGCGGTCCAGCCACATCGCACCGAGGTGTGACTTACCGTAGGACTGCATTTTAATTGATTTAAATTTTTTCACCTGAGCAAGGAGCAGTTTTTTTTCCCCCCTTAAAACTGTAGAATTAAAGAAGACTAAGATCCTTTGCTTTGTAGAATATGTAATTCTAGAATTTGTATTCCAAGGAGTATTCGTTTTTACAGTCATCCCTGAGATACGGTGCTTCTTCCATGCATTTATCTTAATATGCCACCTGTTGTGTTTTAAGTTGTAGCGACATATCTTTCTGCTTTCACTGAAGGCCATTTTTTTTAATTGAAAGTTTAACAGGATAAGACGGTAACTCTTGAATATGAGTTGAAGGAAATGGGATTCCCTTTATCCACAACACAGCTGACCCTGAACAACGTGGGTCTGGGCTGCATGGGTCCATTTAGACACAGATTGTTTTCAGTAGTAAATACTTGAGTACCACACTGTCCACGGTGGGTTGAATCCTGCGACGCAGAGCCACGGATACAGAGAACTACGTGCAGAGGGACGACTGTAAGGTACCTGTGGATTTTCCACCTCGTGGAGGGTCGGCGCCCCAACCCCCCGTTCTTCAAGGGTCAGCTGTGCTGCTTTTCCGTTCTCATAACAGAATTTGATTCCCTGTGACCATTCGCCCTTTTTATTCTTGTTCTGTAGGATGTCAGTGGGGGAGGACCTGCCCGTTCCTACCCAGTGGGGGGCCTTTGTTACTACCTTTCCCCCCCTGAGTCCATGGGCGCCATATTCGAGGACCCCGTCCATGTGGTGGTTTACATCATCTTCATGTTGGGGTCGTGTGCGTTCTTTTCTAAGACGTGGATAGAGGTGTCTGGTTCCTCAGCCAAAGATGTAAGTATTTGTTTTATTTGAAAATGAGAAAAAATTCGTAATTTTTGTGTGTCAAATGGTAATTGATACACTCAAGTAATTTAAACTATAATTCATACATTCTTAATGAGGTGATTTCACCCCCAAGGGGTTAAAAACTAGTTCTTGGAAAGTGAAAAATTCTTGGATTTTACAGTGCTTTGTGACCCTCCAAAGCTCAGCCCTACCCAACAGAGTCTTATTCGTTTGTATTTAATTCCTCTTTGGGGAGGTGACAATTAAAAAAAGCTTGTGAAACCCTAGATTAAGGTATGGGTAATGTGGTTGTGCCTCAGGGAAGGCAGTTTTATATGACAGGACCTGCTTCAGCTTCTTACGTTTCACTTGTCAGAGTGCAGAAAGCACTTTGCACAGCCTGGTTGATAGTAAACAGCGCAATAGTAGCATCTGATTTCAAAAATTGTTTTCCTCTTCGCAGGTCGCTAAACAGCTTAAAGAGCAGCAAATGGTAATGAGGGGCCACAGGGACACCTCTATGGTTCATGAGCTTAATAGGTAAGGGCACCAGACTCTCCTTGATACGAGTGTGTGTGTTACGTACTTGGTTTTTCAACCTATCTTTCATTTACTGTCAAAGTGATAATTTGTTTAAATTCATATTTGAAGCATTTTTTCTTCTACTTAATACAAAAGAATGAAAATTTAACACAAAACTGAATTGTTCTCCACATCAAAATTAACACATAAATTATTATTTTAATTGAAATTGTGTTCCCTTCGCTGCTCAGGCCAGGGTTAAAATGCTGTAGGTAAGAGGTTCTCGTTGCTGGCTGGCTGCACGTAAAATCACCTGGGAGCTTTCAAAAAATGCTGATATCCCACCTCTAGGAACTGTGATGTATTGGTCTGGGGTGGGTCCCAGGCGTCGGTTTTTTCATGTAGCTTTATTGAGAGAGAATTCACACATCATTGTATTTACTCATTGGAAGTATATGGTTTAATGGCTTTTTGGGGGTTTTTAGTATATTCTGAGTATGTAATCATTACAATAATATTTATTTATTTATTTGAATTTATTTATTCATTTGTATTATTGGGGGGGTAATTAGGTTTATTTTTGTTTGGAAGGAGTACTGGGGATTGAACCCAGGGCTTCTACCACTTGAGCTCTATACCTTCCCCCGCTACAATGTAATTTAAAAAACATTTCATCACCAGAAAGAAACCTTGTACCCATTAGTTACTCCCCCTTCCTTCCCAGCCCTCCTACCGCCCAGCCCCAGGCCTTTATCGTCGAGATTTGCCTATTCTGGACATTTTATATAAATGGAGTTACATGTGATCTTCTGTGAATATCTTCTTTCACTTAGCATAATGTTTTCAGGGTTCATCCATTATTTGTGATTAGTATTCCACTGTTTGGCTATATCATGTTTTGTTTATTCATTCATCATTTGATTAGAATTTGGCGGTTTCCACTTTTTGGCTGTACGAACGATGCTGTTGTGAGCGTACTTGTTCGGGTTTTGTGTGGTCGGATGTAGTTTTCATTTCTCTCGGAGAGGACTTGTTGGGTTGTGTAGTAACTCTGTGTTGGACGTGCTGAGGAGCTGCCAGACTCTTTCCCAGGGCAGCCGCCCGTTCTCCATCCACCAGCTACGTGGGAAGCCGCGGCACGCGCACCCCACTGCGCGAGTCCCCCTCCTGGGTGTGAAGTGGTGTCTCGTTGTGGTATTGATTTGCGTCTCCCTGATTAGTAATGATGTTGAGCATCTTTTCATGTGTTACCCATTTGAATATATTCTTTGGGAAAATGTCTCTTCAATTCTTTGCTTATTTAAAGTTTTTAATTGGGTGGTCTCTTTGTTACTGAGTTGTAAAATTAAAAAGGTACTTTGGATACGTCTCTTGTTAGGTACATGATTTGCAAAAATTGTCCTGTTCTGTGGGTTGTCTTTTCACTTTCTTGGTGATGTCCTTTGATGCACAAGTTTTTAACTTTGATGAAGTTCAAGTTTCCTATTTCTTCGGTTGCTTTGTGCTGCCTTTTCATTTTGTATATCTAAGAAACTCAGGTCACAAAGGTTTATCCTCTTACACTTAGGTCTGTGATCCACTGTAATTTTTGTGCTTGGTGTGAGATAGGGGTTCAGATTCCTTCCTTTCCATGTGGGTATCCAGGTGTTCCAGAACCATTTGTTGAGAAGGCATGGGTGTTTTAAACCTTTTATTTAGAACATAGACTAGATTGCAGGGAGTAGTACAATGAACCTCTGTGTCTAGCCTTAGCAGTTACCATTCTGCCATTCTTGTTGCATCTACCGTCCCCTACCCCTCTTTATTTTTCCCTCTCTCTGGAGTATTTTAAATGCAATTCCCTTATTTTTTGACAGTTCTCCAGGTGAGTCTAACATGTGGCCAAGGTTGAGTTACTGTTGAGGACGATCATCCAGACCTTGTCACACAAATTTGATACCTAGAAAGCATTTTGAAATTTACTCTCCATCTACAAGAGGGAGCTAAAGGTGACCCACTTACAGACAGTATTAAACATTCCAGCACTTAAATCTCAGTTGAGGAGTCTCCTCTTCTGCCGTGAAAATCACGTATTGCCTTTCCTGGCTGTTAACTGGTTTCTTGCAATCAGGGAGTCAAATCACTCCCTTAATCACCAAGTTTTCACCAACATGTAACTGTATGTGCTCTGTCCAAGCCAGCAGTCCCGCAGACTGTCCCTGCTGGCGGAGTTCAGCTACCCCCCACCTGCCCCTCCTCTGACTCCGGGCTCTGTCTTCCAGGTACATCCCCACGGCGGCCGCGTTCGGGGGCTTGTGCATTGGCGCCCTGTCGGTGTTGGCCGACTTCCTCGGGGCCATCGGCTCTGGCACTGGAATTCTGCTTGCAGTCACTATTATTTATCAGTATTTTGAAATCTTTGTTAAGGAACAGGCTGAAGTTGGTGGGATGGGTGCTTTGTTTTTCTAAATGTTCCCGTATTTCTTTTTGTGTGTGTGAAAGGGAAAACATTTTGACACGTTGTTTTTGTCAGATAATGCTGGTCCCCTTTCTTTTCTCTCACAGTTTGTTTTCAAGTGTTAACTGTCCCATTTCTGAAATGGGCACGGAGCTAAGCCTGTGTGCAGCGTTAGTACCAGCTGCCTTAAAACCGAAGTTTACATCATTCATTACAAAACGTACACGCAGTGTTGCCTGTGATGCTGGAAACCAGTGTACCCGCCTCGCCATGTTCAGCTGTGACGGTGAGATGGTGACGTGCATCAGTTTTGCACACAACATTCAAAACACTCAGTATTCCCCTGACTTGTTTAAAAATAAAGAGTTCAAATTGCCACTTTCCAGTATTTTTGTGCTTATTTAATGAGTTCTGGAACATTTATATCTAATCTATATTTTAGATATAATTGCTTTTTATACTTTTTTAACGCATAGTGTCCATGTTCCCACCCTCCCTCCCTCCTATTTGTCTTTCCTCAAAGCAGCCGTGTAGCCCACGTGGGCAGAATCGAGCTTTCCGTCACATCTGTCATGAGAGACAACCGCTTCTGATTTCCCGATCTCCAGTCCCCCTCCTCCCCAGGGACAGCACCGTCCATGCTGTTTTGCTGTATTGGCTATGCCTTGAATTCCAACACGTCACTTGAGAATACTCTTAGAAGAGCCTATGCTCCAGTTGTTTTTTTTTTAATCCCTAAAGCAAAGATCTAATTCTCAAGCAATGTCTGTAGTTCAGTGGGGGTGAACGACGAGTAATTCGTGCTAGAATCTGTGTCTGTTGTACTTGACAGCAGCAACATGAGTGTTAACAGTAGACAATAAAATTTTATTTAATAAAACTTTTGGTTGGAAAAATAAAGTCTGATATTAAATGATTTCTAAGATGATTTGTCTTGAGTTCACTGCATTCACACAAAATTCATCTGAGATACCTACTGCAAATGTATTAGTTTGACCCGAAAAAATACTGAGGGATAGTGACCAACATAAGGATACTCAGTTTTGTGACTAACATTTGGAAAGAACAGAACAGTGGTCTCAAACATCTTGGCCTCCATTTGAAATAGTACATTTCTTTATAAACAATTCATGTTTTCAAAGTAAGTGCTTTATTGTCCAAAGAGTGCAAACTTAATTTTTCAAAGACATCCTTTTCATTTGTGTGGTTTTTCTGTCATTGTTTAAGTGCGGGAAGTATATTTTATTTAGCTTAGGCTCACAAGGCCAGCTAATTTCAGGAGCAAGGCAGAGAAAACAAAGGCAGGCAGGACAGTGGCCATGGTCACTGGAGAGCATTTTCTGAGGTCCTCAGACCATTGTTACCATGGAAACATGCACCCAGCGTTAGAGGTGTTTCCTAAAAGTAGGTGGAAATACAGCTTTTATTTTATTTTGGGGGTGGGTGGGTGGGGAGTAATCACATTTTTTTTTTAGAGGAGGTACTGGGGATTGAACCCAGGACCCTGTGCATGCTCAGCATGTGTTCTACCTCTTGAGCTATACCCTCCCCCCAAAATATTATAATAATTCTTCAACTTTTAAATGCTGAGATACTAACAGCGCCAGCCAACAGACTGCCAGCTCTCAAACTGAATTTCCAAAGCATAGGCTTGGGTGTTTATAGGTAACAAAAACCGCCTTAGGGGACGTTCTAGGGTTTAGCTGTCACTTCTGCATTTCACTCTTAGGAAGAGAAATGGCAGAAAGGACAGGCAGGGGTTACAAATCTCTCCTTGGTCAGCATTTAAGAGTAGATTTCTCAATTGCCATGGAGACTGGTTTTGGAAGGGCTGGTCGGTTTGGAGACTAGTCTCTGCTTCAGTCTTATTTTATGTATGCCTTGTCTCTGATTTTGATGGAAAGTTAGTAACAAGGGAAATTACAGGACATGGGCCTTGAGAGCTCAGGGAAAGGGGTGGCAATCTCTGGAGAATCATGATGCCGATGATTTATAACAAGGATTTTTTTTTTTTTAAAGAGGCATAGGGGAAGGCTACTGTTAGAGCAAGTTGTTGGGGCTGAGTTTTACTTATTTATGAGAAGAGTTGATCTTTGTCCTCTTGTTCCATAATTCTCTACATTCTTGTTTAGGAAGTACAACATAAAGATCTTGTATTTTTGCTCCTAAAAATATATCTAGGGAAGACAGTGACCCTGTAGACAAACAAAATATACTGCAGCCTTTCTGGCATTAGTCCCCTGATTCTCTCTGGCTCAGGGGCCTGGCTAACCCCTGGATCCAGGGCTGGAAGCATGACAGAGGCATGGCCAATGAGAACCATCTAGAGACTTCTGCTCGGGGCCACCCGAAAAGGCAGTAGTCCTGGAGCTGCTGGAGGCCACAGAAGTCCACAGAAGCGCCAAGCTCAAGAGGTAAGGAAACGGCCAGTAATGCTGGTGGACCCCTGAGGAGGATGGGGTTTTAGGCACAGCGTGAGCCCCCCACAATCCCTTTTTTTCCCTTTAAAAACAACTGTATTGGGTTTCCGATACGTGCTATGTGGCTGTACCATGGTTTAACACCAAGACGATGCCCCACATCACGTGAACCATCACGTAAACCTTATTCCTATGGATTTGGTTTTTAGAAATTTCAAGTACTCTTTGAGGTAAGGACAGGAAATGAGATTCTAAAGTATATACACGTGCTTGGGGGATGGGCTTTGTCTTTTCATTAGCCTCTTAACCAACAACCGTTTTTCTAAGAGATGGTCACCCTCCCGTAGTCAGCTGACTGTAAGGACCCTCGCTAACTGGAAACACTTGCTTATCGCAAATGTTATTGTCCACTTTATACCCTCGCTACATAGGTTAATTCCATATAGTGGGTAATTCAATTAGGAGAGGCCAAGAAAGTCCCTGTAGGCCTGTCTTTAAAAAAAACAACTAATGGCAACAGTTACTTGCACACCTCGCTATTTTTTTTTTTTGGAGGAGGGTGGTGGAAATAGTTAACCTAATTTGCAATTCAGGGCTATTTTCCTATAGAAATACTGTATTCTGGACTAGATCACAAAAGTAACAGCTGAGTTTTTTGTGTTTTGTTTTTTAAAGCTGGATTAAACATACATGCATTTATGTTCTTTAATATTAGCTGTAGCTTAGCATTTAAACGAAGGCTACAACCTCCCTGTAATTACAATTCCATACTACGACATGCATTCTATGTTGCTTTTATTTTATGAAAAAGCTAATTTCAAATCTACATTAAGACTAAGCTGAATACGAAGTCTTAGTGAAGGAGGCCTGGTGGTTCTGTGTATAAAAACACAGCCACTGTCCTTTGGCCTTAAAACTTCAGGAAGGGCACTTCAAATGGCTTCGTGTTTGCGTGTTTCAGCGCCAGGGCGTAGGAATAGACTCTGGCGTCCACTGTCAGCTGTTCTTCAGCCATCAGAGCTGGAGGACATAAAGGGGACAAGTCAGATAACGAAGCTGACACCAGCTAATCATACCCTTCTCGCTCAATCAGTGTTTACTGAGCAGCTACTGTGCACCAATTCCTGAGCTAACCGCTGGTCATACAGGGATGAACAGGACATTTGCTGCCTTCAAGGATCTTACTTCAGTGGAAGAATAAAGGATCTAAGAGCATGGTTACACTTCCAGTATGGGACAAGGACGAAGAGCGCATGTGTAAAATGATGACTTTATGCCTTAAAACAGCAAGGCCGTAAGTTAATGGATTCAATTGTTACTTCATTTATAGCTGACTCCAGGGCTTGGCTACTCTCCACCCACACAGGGATGGCGCTTTCCGCATTTTCTCCTCCTCAGGGGATACACGTTCCACATGCAGGTTAACATGTTCCACAGCGCAGGACACACTGGAATCGTCCTTACCATCAAGAATGAGGTCTCAGAAACTGACCACAGGGGCTTTCATGAGAACGCCTGTTTTCCTCAGGCCATCAGACTGCCACTCGGCCCCCTGTCTTACAGCCGCTTGTTCAGGAACAAGCTCAGAGACGTTTTGCTCCTGGAAGGCAGGGTTACGTCCTGCTCCTCCCCGCGCAGCAGGTGCAGGTAAGTGCTGAAAGCTGTTCCTTGCAGCAAACTGAACTCCCAGGCCTTCCTCCTCCTTCTCAAATGTTACTCGTCCGGGAAGTAAGTAGATTACCCCCTTGAGTCTAGTAAAGCTAGGACGACAGCTTCTTCTGCCCTCCCTCCTGATATGTCCGTATCCCCTCCACCTTCCTCCCTCCCTCCTCGAGGCCCTCTCCTACGGCCGGGAGGGAAGTCAGCTGGAAGAAGGAATTTTTTTTTACAAAAGATACTTTTCTAATATAAAAACAAAAACACAGCAGCATATAACATTAAGGGTCTGGGTGCCAAGGTTATCCCATTTAACTTTACTCCACCTCCTCAGAGGTAGGGACTCCTAGTTTAGGAGAAGAGCTAAGGAACTCGTTCAGAGTTGCCACTACCACATGGGCGGCTGAGCCTCCGACCCAGTCAGACCTGCCCACTTCGAAGCTGCACTGCCCGCCTGGTGGGCCCCGCTGTCCCCAAGAAGACGCCCCAGAAGTCACCGCGTCTCTTCCTGGCCAGTACTCCCAGCTCCGACCTGAGACCCTGAGGTCTGGTTTCTAGGAGGTAATGCAGGGATGGAGGCTGTCTGGGAACCTGAAACCGCAGCAGTTTCTCAAAGATTCCACTTGACTTTTTGAACACAGACATTGGAAATAAAACTGTGAGCCACTGGTAATCAAGGGAGGAAAGGAGAGCTCTCAAAAGCTTCAGGTCAAACAATGCTCCAAGCTAATTTTTAAAATAAAACTTATGAACATCCACTTCTTTATGGTGAGTGAGTAGGGACCGACCCAGCTGACAGAAGAGCCCCCCGAAGGCCCCGCCACGCCTTCTGAGTACCTCCTCATGCAGGGACACCAGAGCACGTTGGTCCACGTAACCTTCCTTGCCCAGATCTACAAAATCCTGAGATGGGCCGACCAGGAGCCGCATGGCGTAACTACGCGGCGAGTAACCTACCCAGGGGCGCACTGCTGGGTGGTCTGCTCCCTGTATCACATTACATCCCACGTCACACTTGGTGTGTACCAGTATTTGTAGAAGGAACACTGTTAAATTCTCCTTTAACTCACACGCCACACAAAGAGCCACCCAACATACTAGCACATTTGAGGAACAGCTGAGAGATTTACCACACCTCTGGATGGATGGGTCAAAGATTTAAGGTACAGAATAGATCTGGCTAATCAGCAGGAAGGTAATCGTGACTGTTCTGTAGAATAAACAAAGCCCCTGATGAAAGCCTGACAGAGAATGTCTTGCTCCTATTTTCAAACTCTATGCCACTCAGAAAGGAATATTATTATAGGCCAACTGCAGTCTTACAACAGTTCCCAGGTATCTGCCTTTAATGTGGAAGAGCAGAAAGAAGCAATTCTATTCAGTGCCCCGTTCGCTGGGCACGGGGACAGGGAAAACAGAGCAAGGTGGGTAGCTAGTGACCAAGAATGCTTACCATCAAGCCTCTTCAGCAGGTCGTTCTTTGGTAAGGAAATTACCTCCACAAATTCTAAACAAAGTCCAAGAAAAACAAAGCTGAATGATGGGCGAGCCCCCAGAGCAACTCACAATGCCTGCGGCCACTCCCACTGCACCAGAGGCGGACAACATACCTCCTTCTGCTGAAAATAAAACAGAAGAACATTTCAGCAAGGCCCGGAGTGGCAACACCCCCTGGAGACTTCTATGCAAGACATCAAAAAGGCCATACGAGTTTAACAGAAACCTGGGGCTCTACCAATTACATTTATATTCATGGTAAAAAAAATTCCAACACTATAAAGTTACTGTTCTCCTAATCAAAAGTTTAATCACCAAATTTAAAGCATGTATATATGTATTTTATTTTGGGGGAGAATTTTACTCAATTTATTGATTAGTTGATGTACGGATTGACAGATTTATCAATTTAGTGGGTTTCAGTGGCTTTTCTGACAGCCGCATTACTTGGGGCAGGTGTGTCTGCTATGACTTCTTTATGGCAGGCTCTCAGGCTTGGTTCCTCTTTCTTCAGAATTCTGGTAGCACTTGGTACAGCCCTCCTCATATTGCACTGTGATTTTTTTTTTCTTTTGTATCTTTTCCCACTCACAGGTGTGGAGTTTTTAATGGAGTCACCTTGGTCTCCTCCATGACTTAAATAACACAGTGCAAGGTCACCTCATTATGAAGGTGACTTAGAACTATAAGACTGTAGAGCTCAGGGACTCGTGAGAACTGTGCAGAATCTTACTCGGTGTCAGCTTATACCTGTAAGAGTTGTCGACCCTCCAATAGGAAGAATGCAGGGAATTCAGGATGGAATCAGTTAACAGATGTTCTGAATCCAGTCTAGGGTTGTTGCAGCCTGAGAGGCACTAAAGCTGCTACAACCAAACTTGCAAAGACATACAAAGAATTCCTAAAAGCTTCACTAAGTATGGAACATAGTAAAGAATCGTTAATAAGGTGCTCTCCTACAACTGTCCCATAACATTCCTGCCATCCTTACAGTACAGACGGGGACAGAAATCAGAATGATTTTGAATACTTCCACTGTTTACTCTTGAAGGCTTGTAGCTCTTACTACTAAGTGAGAATAAACTCTATACCGAAGAGAGAGAAATACAAAATTCAACATTTTGTATAAAGAATAAAATCAATGAAGTGCCAAGAGAAAAATACTAAAATACACAAGATTAGGAAAACAGCCAAGAGTACCAGTGAAGCATCTGTGAAAGACTATCCCTCTCTCAACAAAAATCAAACTAGTAGGAAGTAAAAAGATATTTACTAACAGTGCACCCACCTTACACGCAGCCAACGCACCCTTACCTGGCTTTGGCTTCGGCCTTACGTTTTCAGCATCATCTCCGTTGATAGTCACTGTCACGATGTGTGTGGTGCAGTTGGACAAACCCGGATCCATGCATACGGCTGCGGAGACAAGCACCTGTTTCATTACTCAAGTGTCTCTGGGAGAAGACTGGGTCAGTAACTCAGGTAACAGAGGTCATGCAGGAGAGCCAGCACCCGCTGTCGGGAGGCGAAGCACCCATGCAGTCAGCCCCCCCCGTCTTCCCCAGGGTTCCTGGGTACAGTTTGGTAGATCTGAGGGGGTCAGATGTTGTCAGAGCCGTTCTCCACACCAAGAGAAATGCTGTCCAGTGAGGCGTGAGGCATGTGGATGAGATGAGTCATAAGGCTCCGGCCGTGGGAACCTGGAAGGCAACTTAACTTCCTAGCTCTTCTCCCACTTCAGGCCCTTTGTGCTCAGACGTGCTCCCGTAGTGGTGGTGGGGGTTCACTGACAGGTGACCCGTCCTCCCCCGGGCTTTCTCCTCAGTGAACAAGTGAAAATAAAAGCCACCTGAATTCCTGACCACAAAGAAACACCTACTGGGGGCTGATTTTCCAGAGCCTGTCCCCAAGGGCACACCCAGAGAGCCGCACGAACCTGGAGAACATTCAGCGACGTCACCCTTGTAGCCAGTCTCCTCCTCCAGCTCCCGCAGGGCGGCTGCTTCCGGGCTCTCGTCGCCTTCGAGGAGACCTGCAACCGTGGCGGGTGTGAGGCGGGGCTGCGGCCCGGGACACACAGGCTGCGGAGCTAGCGGGAGGCCTCGAGTCGGGAAAGGGGTTGTGCACACAGCACTGACCGAGGCTCTGATCTTCTACAGGGAAGTAAAAGGCAGAGGAACATCCCCCGGCAGATGTAGTTGGTTCTGCTCCTCGTGCAGAGACACAGATTGTTCTGAGCATCCCAGCAACAGGGGTTCTGCACAGCATGGACCTCCTGCGCGGGTGAGTGGCCTGGGGGTGGCCCAGGCCCTGGACCGGCCCTGTGACCACAGCCCAGGAAGCCCGTGGCTGTTCCTGTTTCCCCATGTCAGCCGGGGATGGGGTCACCTACCCTGCCCTTCTCCCTCAGGGCTGTGCCGAGGGAGTCACCCGGGAGGGAGAAGAATGGGAAGGAGGGAACCCAAGGCGAGGGGACCTGCGGGAACGACCCGCTCTCTGAGGGGGTGAGCAGAGGGGCCGCCTGGGAGGACAGTGGCACCGCAGATTCTTTTTCCTGAAAGGAATTTTTAAAATGCGTAGAAAAAGGGAAACATAGCCTATTCAATTACTATCTGTATATACTTGTGTGTGTGTGTGTGTGTGTGTATAGTTTTTTTTAAAATTGAAGTATAGAGTCAGTTTACAACGTTATGTCAATTTCTGGCACAGCACAGGGAAACAAATTCAATTACTTTTAAAGTTACTCATTTCTTCAGTGAAATGGCAAGTAAACGAGAAAGAAAGCTATTGAAATCGAATATATCTGTATGTTCACGTATGACTGGGGCATTGTGCTGTACGCCAGAAACTGACACAACACTGTAAACTGACTGTACTTCAATAAAAATACATATACACAAATGCCCCCCAAAAAAGGGCTATTACTTATATGTTATACTATGGCATGGACTTTAAATATACAAAACTGAAACCACTAATGATAAATAAATGAGATCCAATCTCTTCAGATGGAAACAACCCAATTAAGTCGTGTCATGATGCACTGCACTGAATTCTAGACAGTTCTGCTTTCTGTACAACTGAAAAAATATTCCAGCTGCAATTAAGACAATTTCCTTGGCCTGTATACATACGTCCCAGAGGATCTTTTCCATTCACAGTTTTTGGAGTTTAGAGTTGGGCCTAGTTACTACTATAAATGTGTCAGAAGCAGACCACTAGTGACGGAAGCTGAAATAAGCTGACAAATTACAGAAAAGCAATGACCCAAAAGAGGCTGTAATACTGCGAAGAGGAGGGCGGCGGCCTGGAGAGGCGGATGGATGGGAAGTGTTAAATGTCTAAGCGCCGCCGTGCACAGGCTCTGCCCTGCTCAGCCCCACAGCCCTTGCGAAACAAGAGGCTGAGTTACTCACCCGCGGGGAATTCTAGGCAGTAGCCTCCCATGGGTGGTCGGAACTGCTTGACCAGAACGATGCACTCATAATGCAGAGTTCTCTGCAGCACTGGGATGACCGCCACACCTGTCCCCAGGAAACACAGCCAAGGAAGTCCCTGATGAAAGGCTGGTAATGCAAGCAGTTTACTCAGAGCAATCTAACCAAAATCCTGTATATTAAAAAACGTTGCATCCAAACTCTGTCTTGTATTTGCCATCAGCAATAAGAAGCTATTTTAAACTACAACACTGGCAATTAACTTTGGAAGTTATTCTCATTAAAAAAATGCAAGGAAACAAATCATCACACTTCCCAGTTGTTTTTCTTTTTCTAAAAAGCTTGGTTGTGTTGTCACAATTTCTTTAGAATCACATCAAAACTAGAAGTAAACATTCAGCCCAGGGCCAAGGACACAACTGCAGTCCACACTAACGTCTGCAGAGACCACTTCTCAGCTGCCGTGACTGGGCTGCTGGGGAAGCTACGTGGATCTGTGTGCTCTCGGACTTCCTTTCCACAAGAGATCGAGGAAGTTCCCGTTTGTGGTATATGCTAGCTAGACTGAACTGTACTGTTTCAGGATAAAAGGCCTTTCCTCCCAGGTTACTTGGCCTTAAAACAAAACAAAACCAAAAGGCATTGGATTCTGGAAAACACAGCTGCCCAGGAAGGGGCCACTTGGCTCCTTTCACTTTCCTGGCAGGAAGCCACAGTGGCTGCGGCCGCTACTCTGTCTGCTTCTGGTCAAAACTGGGCACAGAACAAAATGGAAAAATAAATGGGAAAAACAAGAAAGACCTATTGCCCAAGTCCGCCTAGACCAGAGGTGGTTTTCAGGACTGTTTCTGGGCTCTTTCAGTCAAAGAACTCATGCCTGGAAGGGAAAGTGAACTGAATGAACAGTCTTTTCCTAATTCGTTTCCTCGTCAACTTAGAAAACAAGCGGTCAGTAAGCACAAAGTAGTGCCAAGGAAGTTTTCCAAACTAAAGGCTCTCACCTAGATCCCCTGAGCAGAATACGAGGGATTTCCAGAAGGTATAACATGTCTCGCACGGTATGTGGCATAAATCTCACCGATTTATGTTTGGCTTTAAGTATTATTACATCTTCCCCTCAGAAACACTGCTCTGAGCTTAGAGAACAGAAGCCAGAAGTGATTTAGAAAGAAAGCCTAACCGAGTTACACAGCGATGCAACGCAGAGCGCCACAGGTAAAGACAAAGATCATACTTGACGGCAGCTCTGCTCTGACGTCTTGGTTATAGTGAAAAACCCTCCTCCACCCGGCCTCCTGCAGTGAAGAGTGGGGACTTCCTTTCTGGAGAATTAAAACAGGTTTGCATTCATACCATCAGCCGACTGTCCTCTCCTGGTTGTACGTTTGACACTTTCCCAAGTTCTGTTCAGGCAGACAAGAAAAAAATCAAAACCATTAGTGCTGAAGAGACTGTTCTTCGGTTTTGTGTGTATAACCAGCACCTTGCAAATGCAAAGCATGCAAATGTGCTAAAGGTAACAGCCAAGAACACCAGGCAGTAAAGATCTGTACGTGAAGAAGCCAAACGTGCTTTCCTAGAGCTTCTGAAAACTACCAAAGAACACCCCTGCCAGCCCGATCTAAGCCTCTATATCTTAACTGAAGGCTGCTCATCACTGAGCTGCCTTTCAAATCAGCCCTCAAGTCATTTACTAGAATCACTTCAGTCTGGACCATAAATCCACAGGGAGCAGCACAGCTGGTGACCGAGGCCTCAAAGACCATTGAGCAGTCAGCGCAACTGAAGCCCCGACGCAAGTTCCAAAGGATGCTCCGCGTAACGTGAGCCGTAGAGATAGTTATTTACGCAGTTCAGATTTTAAAATCTGCGACCTCAAATACACAGTTTAAGAAAGTAGGGCCCTCCTATTTATTAACTGAAGAGTTATTACATTTAGGTAAGTGCTCTGCTTTGCAGGCCCCACATCCTGTCTCAGGGGAAAATGGTCCCCAGAGGAACATGTCGGGTAATGGCGGCAGGCTCCCCACCCCATCTTCCAGCTTTACTCCTGGTCAGCTGCCTGTCTCAGGGCAGCATGGTACTGAAGTCTAGTTACTGGAACAATCATGCTGTTTGAAGGGGGAGGGGCATACGAGGGGATTCCCTTCTCACTCTTTTAACCCTTAAACAGAAAAAGGCAGCGGCAAGAGTTGGGGTGAAGGAGCCAAGAACTGTGGATTTCAGAGAAGGAAGACATGTGAGTGACTCCGGGGAAAGAAAGGAAGGCGTCCACATGCGACATCAGTCTCCGGACGGGAAGAGGGTGCTGAAGCGGCTCTACATGGAGGAGCCCTCACCCTTTTTGTCTGGTCGTCCTTAAGGTCTGGACTCTGCCATGCTTCTATTAAAAAACATCAGCTATTTAGTTAAAAGGGCAAGTATGTCAGAGTGAACCTATGAGAATCAGACAGGCTCCTGTGACAAGCCAGCTGCCAACATTCCTGTTAGTAGCAAGAAGCCAACCCACAAGCCATTCGGATCAGCCAGTAACTCAGGTCGCAAGAGACACAGCACCTTTCAGCCCAGCTTCCGCTGCTGCCTCCTAAGGTCAGTCCTAAGGACTAAGACGGCAGTGCAGGGAGGGCACCGAAGGGCCCATCCCGAGCGCTAGGAAGGAGGGAAGCAAAGAGGAGCATCAGTCCAGTGGTCAAGCTGAAGTAAACAAGCAGTCCTGAGCCACAAAGAAGAAACGTGTTTCTAAGAAATACCGGAACAAGGACGCCCCCCAAGAGCTCCACTTGATGGAGTCAGAACAGCTCCATCTCCATTAGCCTACCAGCCGAGCCCACGGCCACGGCCTCCTGGAGACTGCGTCCTCGTCTGTAGAACCAGGGAAGTGCCAGTGTTCAAGGGCTCTTGTAGCTTGAGAATCCTGACTCTGGCTGAGTTACCCTGTTTTTTAGTCTTTGTTACAGGAAAGCCTGTTTTACTTTCTTCATCTTGTCAACCTGCAGCAAGAGGCAGGCCGGGTGGCAGAAGATGAGTTCAGCTCTATCCTGAACTCAATAAAGGGGCACCCAGCCAGCATATCTTCACACTCCTAATATCACTCTATGTCCTCTTCCACAAACAAGATGCTGGAACAAAGGAATTCTCTACTGCAATTTTATTGTTTTGTACATGCAATATTTTATAAATGTAAAAACCATAGCCTACTGTGAAGTACTGAGATTCATTCTTCAAAGCTTGACATTCTGGTATGAATGCTGATGTTTTACACAAGACCTCTCTGGAGGCCACAGGGAGGCCCTCTGTATGGACGGATGGAGAAGAGGCCACACTGGGTGGTGTCTGGGAGACCTCAGAACCCACCCCCAGCCACTGAAGCCAGCTCTCCGGAGCTGAGACAGAATCATGAGTTTCTAGAAACAAATCCTCCTGTGATTCTAATGCACACCCCTGATGGAAGGAGAAGCACTGGAAGGGGGGCCGAGGAGCAGGTGCTGAGCCACATGGGCGCCGACCGACACATACTCTTCACCTGACCAACACGAAGGGCTAGACTCCGTTATCAGGTCAGCCTGACGGGAGAAGAGAACCTAAGTGCACCATGGTAAGGCGGGGTCATGGCTCTGGCTCTGTTTTCACAAGCACAAGCCCAGTGCACACACTGTGTTCCCGAAGGCTCGGGCCTCACCACGTGTCTGCAGCCCAGTTCTGCACACTCAGCAATGCACACACGTGACCCTCTCCCACTCTGTGCGTGGGGTGCAGGCACTGAGCTGACTCTGGGGTTCGCTGGTGCTATGGGTAGCTTCACGGACCCCAGAGCTCTCCAACACCTGGCCTCATTACTACTTTTGCTACTTCAGGAGATTATAGTCAAACACTGTTTAAATTACTGGCCATGTACTTTCACACTGATGGGAGGTGCATTTATCTCCTTATGAAGAAATTCTATATTCTTACTTGATCACTTAGCAGTTTTTATGTTAATGAATTCGTATCATATAACCTGGATACTAAACCTAGTTATGTTTTCCTATTTCCTCATTCTGTTTTCCTCCTTTTCGTATTTCACTAAGTAAATGTTTAATCTATTTTAACATATTTTTTCCTGATAGTTATTTGTAATATACAAAAATTACTAAGCAGAAAAGCTGGAAAACAGAAGAAAATAGGTTAATCCCACAGCTGCCATTAATATTTTGCTATTTTTCCTTCTTGACTTTTCTTGCACATTATTTGGCAGAGTTTAAAAAGCATATATACAATTTCCTATTTTGTTATCAGCTTATTAACTTCTCAAACTGCTACGTCTTCATGACCTGCTTGGAGATGGCTGCACAGATTTTACCAAATGAATACATTATAACCTACAACCATTATTTCTCTATTTTTAAGACGTTTAGGTTGCTTTCAATTTATCTGTCTTTTAAAATTTTGATGAACATTTTTCATGCATTAATCTGATTCCAGATAGTTTTCTTAGCACAGTCTCAGACACCACAGAGGCCTGGCCCCAGGAACTCCCTTCCCGGCCCCAGGAACTCCCTTCCTGCCCCAATATGTCTTTATGACAGTTGATACATAGTATGAAATGCCTTACAGAATTTTTTCCCCACAATTTAAATTTCCATGAGCAAGGTATAAGCGTGTCAATTTTATCCCTAGCCCAGCAGTGTTTTCTCTTACATCCTAATTCAGAGATTAAAAACTGATTTCATAAATGGGAAAACCTGTACCGTGAATGATTCTGCTGCTTTATCAGCTTAAATTAGGCTTGTCCAAAATAACTTAGGTTCACCCTAATCTACCTGGGAGAGTGGTGTTAAAAGAGCTAAACTAGATTCTTTATTTCAGTCAGAGTTACAATGAGGAAAATATCAGTTTATGCCAAACGCTCAACAGAGACCCTGAGAACCCAAACACTAAGCATTTTACAAAAGGAAAAAAAAGTTTACCTTGTTTTACCAGTAGGATCCCTGTAAGTTGTTTTTTCAAGCTTGACCCATTTTCCTTCTGAAATTAACTAAAAGGAGATCAGACAGTAAATTGGGAAACTTTTAAACCATGTTGTTTTTTGGTTTTTATTTAGGTTTTCTTCCTTTCAAACTTCCTCTATGAGGCTCTCCTAGTGACTATTGTGTTTCCCTCCCCAAAACTGATGTGCAAGTTTTCAGTTCAAAGTAATAAAAGTTGTTTTTCTGATGGGTGGGTCTACTGCTTTTTTGGAGTTTGGGAGACAGTACTGGAGGTGAAAAGAAATGAGAGTTGGAGAAATTCTTGGGCCGGGGGAGGACTAGAGGTGCCTGGAAGAGAGCAGGAGGGCTTCTCTGGGATGCTCCTGCCACGCTGTCCTCTGCTCTGCTGCCTGTCACAGAGCTGTGGTCCGTGCGTGAGAACTCAGTGCCATGTGACTGACCATGACTACAAAGCACAGCTGACTGCGAGGACACCGTGGCCAATGACCACGTTCTCCATAGTAACACGTGGGTCTACCACACAGTCGGAGGGGCACCCAGCACCGTTCAGCCTAGACGCCGAGGAGTTTTAGTTACCAGGACTAACTTAATCTACAGCACTACACTGACTGAGAGCAAAGTTCACTCTGTACGGAAAGCAATTAAGTAGGCTTTTCTTACTATTCTCTCTCGCTTCTCGCCAGCAGCAACCTAATAATTATCAGCAGATCTGGTCACAGACAACATGGAAAGAATTTTAAATCAAAAAGAATTCCAGAAAGGTATCAACCTTGTGGGGGGAGGGTATAGCTCAAGTCGTAGAGCACATGCTTGACATGCCCGATGTCCCAGGTTCAATCCCCAGTACCTCCTCCAAATAGAAATAAACCCAATTACCACCGCCGCATAAAACAAGCCGAATGTGTACTTTGATATTAAAAAAAAAAAAAGGTATCAACCTCAGAGTTTCAAGATGAAGGATTAAAATTTATCCAGTGCAATGGTTCCTGTAGGAAGAGACTTTTTAAAAGGTAAACTGGGTAACATTCAAGACATTTATCAGCTCTGGAATTTAGACAACAACTGACAACTACTAAAATTAGGTTTTCACTGTTCTTACACACACACAGAAAGTATAAACAGCTAACCAAGATGTGCTACCTAGGCCTAAGCCCTAAAACTCACAAATGATTTATTCTTCTACCCAGGGAAACTTTTAATAAAAATTGAGAATTTTTTTTCAAACAGCAGTCAAAATCCACTTTAAAATCAGTCTCACTTTCCTTAATACATACAATTCAGAGAGAGAGACGACTGCTCCCACACAAGAGCAAAAGGTCCCTGAGGCCTAAAAAGGGAGCAGGAACAAGGCTTTAAAACTGTCCTGCAGCATTAAAAACAGGCATCTGAAACAGCAAAGAGCGTATACATTTCTTTGAAACTCAGCTTTATGTGGGGAAGGAGAAGTAGGAAACAGTTCATACCTCCTCTGAAATAATAGACTGTTTGGTATTTTGAGATGACTCTGCTGGTTCCTGTTTTTCCATTTTCCAGCTCGTTTCCCTTTGGAGTCCCCGGGCAAGTTCACGCTGTGAGAGAATGAGATTGGTTCAGGCTACGTACATGTTTCAGAATTAAACATCTGTCTGTAGGTCACTGGTCAAAGCACTTAAATGGCGGAAAAACTGATGTCAGCAAAGCTGCTTTTCTCACGTGAAGATCTGGGAGAACTGTCCAAAGCGGAAGGGCCTTGGGGACACCCAGGAAAGAGCTCAGAGCTCCCCAGCGAGACCCCACCCACGCCTGCAGGTTCCTGCCGTGCGGACCAGGCCTAGCCTGACTCCACAAGAACCTTCCGAGGGGATAGAGCGCAAAGATGGTGAACCTCGCCCCACGCCCACCCCCCACTGCTGTCCCTTATCAGCCCCGGCGAGTGAGTGAGTGAGTGAGTGTGCATGCTGCTGAGAAACGGAAGCCACGCTGGGTCTTGGTCCCACGTGACCGGCTCGTGCTCCGGACACCTGCAGCTATCCGCGTGCCGTCACGGCGATGTTACCGCAGGGACCCCGTGGGGCCTTTCAACCCGGAAACTTCGCACTGTGCTTCCTGAATTGCCTCACGGGTCCCTTCCTCCCGTCCGTGCTCTCTGTTCTCCGGGAAGCAGTGCTTAGCTGTTGGGCTGCTCGAATCGGTCCTCTGTCTTATCTTTTCACCCCCATTTTCTGTTCCTTGTTATTTTGTCTCCGTTTCTCAGAGGCTATTCCAGCCCGTCACTGCCCTTCCCTGGGCCCAAGGACTGACGGAGCCCAGGAGGCTGGTTTGCGGCCCGGTTTTCTGGCGGGGCCGCAAGAGCAGTTACTGCGCTGTCTGCGCTGCTCGGGTGCTACTGCCCTCGGGGGCTGCGTCCGCCTGAGGCGCAACACGTATTTCTGTTGTGTTATGACAACGTTATGACCATTGTTGCTTGCAGACTATTTTGTGGGCAAAACTAGGAATTACTTTGACACAGAAGCAAAACTTGAGGCCTTAGGTAAAAAAAGACGACGATATGTTAAAGAAAGAAAAATAACCTCTTAATGCGGATGAGAGGGAAAAAAAGCCTGTATATCTTCACACTCAGTGAAGATGAATGCTAATCGATACGGAGTGATCAGGAAAGGCCCTTAATTTGGTGACATCTTAACAGAGGCATGAAAATAATAAAGAACGTGGATATTTGGAGACAGACATTTAGCATAATAATTATATGCACACAGCATAAGAAAACAGGCAACTATTTCTTTGAAAGTATCCCAGATGGTAATTTTTAGGTAAACTTTTAAGTGGCACTGGTTTATATTAGACAAATAGTTTACATTATATTATTATAGGCAATCAAAGAAGTGTGCTGCCCCCGATGAAAACTTTGAGGTTAGGTAAACCACGGGCTGGTACCTGTCTCTCTACCTGCGAGCGCTACACCCAGAGAAAAGAAGTTTGTCCATCTAGATTTTTATCATCTAGATTTTCGATCCCTTCTATTAATAACACATACGCAAGAGAAGGAAAATTTCCACAACTTTCAGATCTGACATTTAAGAGAAAATAAATTAGGCAACCAAGCAACCCCATTTAGTGCACAATATAATCTGCCCAAAACAATAGTACAAAATGCTTGGATTAAGTCAAATTTCTATCTCCTTCTAAAGTGACTCTCTGACCCCAAATAAGTTTTCTGTGTATACCCACACTTCTTATCCTTATTTTTAAATTAATTTTTTTGGAGAGCGGAGATAATTAGGCTTAGTTATTTATTTTTAGAGGAGGTACCAAGGACTGAACCCAGAACCTTGTGCATGCTAAGCATGTGCTCTAGCCCTTGAGCTATACCCGCCCCCTCCAAAATTCCTAAACGCAGGGAACTGCAGTCCTTAAAAAGTACAAGCACCACCAGAACAGGTAGGAAGAACTAGATGATCCCTAATTTTCCCTATGTGAAAGTTTTAAATCTGGATTCCCAGTAGACAAAGTGCTCTGTAACAGCTAATTTAGAGGAGCAAAGAGGTCCTCCTCCTAAGCCCATGTGAGTATCTTTAGGAGCAAAGGGGCATCTGGTTCCTTCAGATTTACATGTAGCTTTAAGGCACTGAGATTATCTGCAAGATTCCCTTATGTTTTTATCTTTACAGCTGTCCTCAGATTTCCAAAGGGACTGTTGACAGCCAAAAGGGCGAAGAAGCACTTTTCTGAAGGATGATTCCTCATCGACTGCTCTTCATCGAACCAAGGTTGCTCAATTCAAGCACAGAACAGTCCCAGGAATCAAAAATCCATCCTCGGTCAGCAAATGTTAAACTATAAGGAGTTGTTTCAAACACACTGTACTTTTAAATGTTTAAGCTAAAATGTTAGAGATCTAGAAAAACAGAAAACGGGCTCCAGATATAAATTACGAAAGAAAGATAGAAGAAAAAAAGAAGTGGCCAACAGAGCCAGCTTCTCTAGGGTAATCACCTGGAAAGCAGTCAGCCCCAAGGGGGAAAGAGTATTCTGTAGTGACATATCCACAGTATAAGAGACAAAAATGGGATGAAAGAGGGATTTCAGAAGTATACTGTTTACTAGGTAATCCCCAAAATGTTCAGGATTATGAAGGCACCTCGAAAATACTGCTGAAACAGAAAAGGATGATTCTTTTTAGCACCATTTCAGAAAAAGAAGCAAAAAGGTGCCAAGGGGGCTGTCACTCCAAGGACAGCACTGCGGAAACCAGGGTCTCCGTGCCCCCTGCTCTATTCCTACCCAGACAGAGCTGGCCTCTGCTGACTTCACACTATTTTGAGATTTAAAAGTAAAGTTTACTATGAGTTTTATCCACTTCATTAGCTAGAACTTAAGGTCATCTACATTTTGCTGCTAATAGGTGTACATTATATGTAAAAACAAAAACAAAAAAAACTCCTGTGTACATAATGTTGAGTGTTCTGGTTGGTTTTTTTTTTTTTTTGAGTGTTCTGTTTTAATTCACATAATCCATTTTAACTTAATTCAGCTTGAACACTGAAGGTCTCTGATGTATGGTTTTTCCAGGGCACAAAAAACTCCGAGGAGGGGAAATGTCACAGGATTCCTAGAATTCCTCACAGTGGCAGGCAGCAGTGTTCAACTCGCTGTGTTAGCACGGGCAGTTCACAAGTTCGAGTATAAACCAACTGCCAAGTGAGCGTCATTCCAGCTCTGGGGGCCCACGTAGTTGAACACGTAAATAAAAAACCAGAAGGGCAAATGCAGACAGTGTGCAACACTAGGCTGCTTTAAGGGAGGGACAGATGACATCCACTTAGGAGGCAGGGCAAACAGTAAAGGCTTTTAAAAAGCTACTATTAAAAGGCAGTTTGATACTAAGATAGGATTTAGAGACCAAGAAGGCAGAGAAAGACTTCTGAGAAGGAATCACAAGAACCAAATCGGAGATGTTAACTGGGGGAAGGGTTGAGAAATCACGGGACAGTTTGGCAAGCCCTGTGGCTCTCACTCAACCTTTTCCTCCCCACCCCATTCCAAAACACCAAAAGCAAGCCCCATATGTAATGGACGATGTTAACATTTACAAACGTATATCCAAGGGTTTCCACAGATTCAGCTGGATGCCTGACCCTTCCCGGGAAGATCTGCAGGCAAATAAAGCACTCAACAACCCTAGCTGGCAGGCCACAAACTCTTGCTGCCTTGAGAGTTCCTCTTCGGGTTAGCACTAAGGTCTCTGCTAGTAACTTGGGTATTTCAGTATTAGAATCAACAGCTGGATTCGAGCTACATGGGAGTTCAGATTCAAGAAATTAAACTGAGACACTCAAAAGCCAGGCTGCAGAGTTTGCCCTCAGGCGCCTCATGATTCAACCATTACCACACCCGAACCCCTGCACTTTGCTGAGGTTGCAACAAGAGGCAAAAATCACAAAAAGAAATCATCCACTGGTTAGTCTCTCCTGGCAAACAGTTGAGTATTATAGTAAACACCACCTCAACCAAAAAAAAGAAGTAGGAGCTCCAATCATAGGCAAAACTTCTGATTGACAAGTGAAGGTCAGGCAGTTGGAAGAGTTTAATAGGAAACAGAAATCAGCAAGGCACCTTGAAAGAAATTAAGTGGGAAATCAATTTTTGCAAAAAGTAACTATGCTCGTGGTACTGAAGTCAAGCATCCCTTGCTCAGGCACGTCTATGACGCCAGTCTACATTCCTTCCAGGACAACTGAAGGGCAGGTGAACAACCAAACAACTATGCAGAAAAGCCGCCTGATTTACAACAAAGAATCAATTAGTATAGTTACATTTAATAATCTTGGTTATAATCGTAAGACTTCAAAAATTTTAGTCTTTTTAAAGATAATATTTTAATCAGTCCTTCTTTTATACCACCTGTGGTAAAATTCTGGTGTCCACATTAAATGGGTTTCACTTTACCTGAGCTTTCCTTTGCTAGCAACAATTCTCCTCACTAATGAATACTTCTGGCAGGTGCTTTGTTAGTGACAGAGAGCCACTGAAAGTTTTCTTCTTTCTTTTCTGGTAGGTGTAAGGGCTTGGACAGGCAGGGAGGGAACTAACATTTTACTGAAATTATACTACTTGGTGATTTATAATCATTACACTTAGTGCTGGTTAAGCAACAGTGAATTGATTGGGAAAGTTAATTGGTTACAGCCACACAGTAACAAGACCAGTAAAGAACCTCTTTTGATAGCCCAGGAAAGAGATAACCTAGGCTGGGACTAGGGTGGAGCAGCAGCGAGCAAACAGACTTAACTCTTTGCAGGTGAGAGTTTACTACTTTTCCTAAAACAGTTTGTGGGGGTGGGGTTTCCAAAGCCAATTCCAAGGAGGCGATGATCTCAAAGGACATGGGGAGAAAGGGGTGGTACAGCTTTCAAATCTGGACACACTGAATTGAGACGTTGGTACAATATCCAAGTGGAGAAAACCAGCAGGGAGTTGGAAATACTAATCTACAATACTAATCATATTATGAATTCAGAGAAGGAAATGTTTTTTCATTGTGTGTTCTGAAATTGCTCAGTTACCCCTGCCCCCTGCCAATCCCTTGGCTACTGATACTTTTTTGGCAGACACGAGAAAAAACAATTTTTCCACTGTTGTGAAGGTTTCATTGAAGAAACTTGATGAGTATAAACACTTCATGGCCAAATGAAGAAAAGATTAACACAGTGGCTAAAAAATAGTGGAAGTGAATTGAGTTGTACCCATTCAAAATACTGAAGCATCTGTATTACTTGATGCTGGTTGGATGTGTGACAAGTTACTTAAAATCAGCTGTGAGTACTACTACAGTGTCACACACTACTCAAGTATATAGGCTAAATAAAAGACATCTGCATCAAATTCCTTCCCGGTAGAGTCTCTAAATTTACAAATTTAGCTGCTTCTCTACAAAAAAGTGCAATTTAGTACTAAAGCTTTGCAGCTGCCTCAACCTCTACATGCATGTTTCCTGGGATGTTAATGTATTACTCCTCCCAGAGTGGCTACCTTCCGAGTTTCTCCTTTCTCCTATACTTCAATTAATTCCTATCTTCAACAGAAAAAAACCTTACCCAAATTAACCCCACCAGTGCTAACATTTCCCTCAGCTACTTGTTTATTTCTAGGTCAAATCAAAACAAATATTCGAGAGACCACTCCATCCGGTATTAAGTGTCTTTTAGACCGGGCAGTCTGGCACTGTTCTCCCAGCATTATGGAATACTGTTTCTTTCCCCCTCGGAAACAGAAGGCATTGCATAATCCTGAATCTCAAGACGTCCTGATGATCCACTAGCGCCACCTCTCCTCCAACATACTCTGCAACATTGTACTCTTATTTACCTCTGTTTAGAAGATGTATGTTTAAAAGCAATGCTCCCAACTAAGCCACTCAGTAACATTTTTTTAGCAAAGGAAAACAGGAAACAGTGCATATGGAGGGGGGGGTGGAGTCCCGTAATTATCCTAACGAATATATTTCTAGAGAGGCCTGTAATCGGTGAGGTTCTCACCTCTATTTTATTTATTTATTTTTAACATTTACCTCTTTCTATTTTAAAACGACTTAAGATAGGCCAGTTAAGATTGTGCAATTTTAAGGAGCTATACAAAATGTGAGTCCGTAGGCATAGGTGCCAGGGACAAGCCAGAGGCATATAACTGTCCAAGAAGCAAGGCTAGGTTTAAAAGGCGTTTCTCAGCACCCAGTCATTTCTCTTAAGTCATTTAAAGAAGTAAATAAAAGTTAAGCTTTCTTAATACTGTACCACCACTTTCTGGTGGCCATCTGATACGTCATTACGGAAGTAACAGGGAAAACAGGTGATCGGAGACAGAAGAAGAGGGAAAAAGAATGACATGACAAATTCGACTAGAATTCCCACAGACTAATGAACCCAGCATGGCACGGATACTGATGCAATCTGGCTGTGTTTTCACAGGCTGCTACTTTGCGAAGCTGGAATAAATAATAAACTCTACGCTCAAAGGAGATGCCTCTCGTTTCCTCTATGCTCCCAAATTTACCACCTCTACTACGTCCAAAGTCGAACTCCCCAGGATGGTGCAGAGGGGACCCTTAGCTCTCTCTCATAACCCTCCCCCACGTACCAAGAGGGGCCACCCTCCCCTTTGCAGATGCCTCAACCGCTGCACTCACGCTAAGATTTCACTGTGGTGTTTCCTGCTTTCTCTTCTCCGAGTAGCCCACCCCTTCAACCCTGTCCGTGGTTCGCCGCTGAACCTGCCCTCCTTTCCGCGCCTCGGCGGGCGCGAGCCGGGTCCGCAGCCGGGGACACGCGCGCCGCTGCCGGCACGCTCCAGGTGTGCCTCCCTCCCTCTCCGGCTAAGAGACCCTGCACGTGAATGGCCCGCGCCCAGTTACCTACTCCAAGGCGTGGGGCGAAGGGATGGGCACTCCTCTAAGAAGGAGGAGGAAAGAGAAACCGCGAGTCCGAGGCGGCAGCGATGCGGTACTACTACACTAGCCACAACCAAGCCTCGAGATGAGGTGGTGAGAGGGTGCGCGCTCGCCCCCTCCCGGCACCTTTAGCATGCCCGCCGGTGACCCAGCCGCACACGATTACCTTCCGGGGCAGCGCGCGGCTGGGCGGGAAGCGGGGCGGCGCGCTGCTTAGAATCTTTGTCTCAACACTTCCGGAATTCCTGTTCCGCAGCCAGAACTCTATGCGTGCGTGTGTTTGTGTGCGTGTGTGTCAGTGTACACTAAAAGCACGCCCCACGGTTCCTTCTCTCGGCTCCCTTTTCGCTCCTTCCTCCTTGCCTAAGGGACCGGAAGTGTCCTTGAACCAAACCAGCTCGGCGGGCACTTCCGGGACGGGAGACCAGGGTTCCGGGAGGGTGCTGGGAGGAGAGGGAGAAGCGGCGGCGGCGGCGGCGGCGGCTGGAGGATGAAGAAAGAGCATGTGCTGCACTGTCAGTTCTCCGCATGGTACCCACTGTTCCGAAGCCTCACCATCAAGAGGTGAGACAGGAGTGGGCTTCGCCGGCGCGAGGGGCCCAAAGGACTGCGACATTTGGGGCGAGTCCCACCTCCGTCCAGACGACCGCAGGCCTGGATGGGAGCGCCGGTGCCGAGATTTCGACTTCCTAGGGATATTTCGTAGGGGGGACGGAGGGGGGTGAATGAACTCGATCCATATTTGCTGTGCGTCCTATTGCGCGATAGGGAGGCTGCTGGGGAAGTAGAGGGCGCACCCTGGCTCACTGAAGGTCAGAGAAGGGCTGAGGAGCAGATAAAGCTGGTTTAGGCTTGCGGGTTCACCATCACTGCTTTTAGAATTGCCCGAGTCGGGAGGTGACCAGGAGAACTGGGTAGTCTGGGCTTTGCCACTGACCCGCCGCGGGACTTAAAGGCTTTCGGTCACCGTCAAATGGGAACAAGGATACAGACCCAACCTCAAATTCTGTTCTGAAGCCCCAGTAGGATAGAGTACGTGGAAAGCATTAGTAAAGTATACTTATGTATTGTTAGGGATGGAAGCCACCTGGAAGAGAAGTGGAATAGTATTCGTTTAGTTCCCTGGCCCACGACAAGGAATCCATGCCCGGTTTGCAGGGCAAGCAGAGGATTAACTGTTTCATCCTTCACCCGGTCACTCAAGGTAATGTAGGCAAGGCAGCTAGGAGAATATCCCCAAATGTTCAAAAGCAGTCTTAACATCTGGAGCGTGCTGCAAGGGTAGGCTTTTCCACACTAAGACGGATAGATAAAGAACTTTGAATCCGTGGATAGGATTTTCTGTATTTTGCCCGCCCCCCTTTTAGACCTGGATTGCCACTTATTTAAATGTCAGCCGTCTGTTCCTTTTCATTCTTGGTGCAGAGAGTGTGAATACACAGAGGGAGACTTTTGAAATCCTGAGGATTTGGAAGAGCATAAAGAGATGATTCAAAAGGCAGTTCTTTTCTGTCCTGTTATTCATACATTGAATCTGCTTCTGGTTATCCAGGGTGTGATGGAGGTTAGAGCAGCTCAGAGGAGGATGAGCTTTGCATTTGAAGATAGCTGAAGTCACACCAAATCAGAAGGAAGAGCTTTAACAACTGCTGCAGACGTGACTTCCTAACATAGACGTTACTTGCCAGTAGGACATGACAGTCCTCTGTTATCTTGCATAATTGAAACAGGCTTTGGGTTTGAGGTGATACTGGAGTTACTTATTTTCTGTTGGTGTGATAGAAGGTATATTTGGGAACCTGTCAGACATTTTCACTTGGGTTTCACTCGAAACCGATATGTGCTTGGTGTGCAGGTACCTTTGTAACCTTTGGTGTAGTATTTTTTCTTTTCTTTTAAAAAAAATTATATATTTATTGAAGTGTAGTCAGTTTACAATGTTGTGTCTCGCATAGTATTTCTTCGCAGTAAAGTATAATGTTTAAGAATTGGGCTCTGGAGTCAGAGCCATCTGTCTGGCTTTGAATTTTGGTTCCACCAGCATCTTGAGCAAATTGCTTAATCTCTCTCAGCCCCATCTGGAAAATTGAGAAATAATAGGATTGTCATGGGAGTTAAATCAAATAAAGCATTAAAAATGCTCGCTACTGTTTCTGGTGTGTAGTAAGCACACCCAAAGCTGCTTGTTGTTAATATTTTGGATTTAACCAAAGCTCCATTGAAGCAGAATAATTTTAGTTCACTTAAAATGGGTACCATTCATATGAAGCTGGGAATGAGACACAAACCAAGAGGTGGGGTTTTCTTACCACTAAGCTGTGCTGCCTTAAAGTAGTCTTTCCTCTGTCTTTAAACTGTAACTTCAATCTAGTTAGTTCTGTGTTGATATCACTGGAACCCAACATATGACAGGGTTTTGCTCCATCCTGGTGGAGTTGTGTTAGATTTGTCATTGTCATTGTCACCATTAATGCCTAGAGACCATATTCTGGTTATTGGCTCAGCTTTATTATCTGGTGTTTATTAATCATGGTTCAGAGGTGATTACGTAGCTAAGAATACAGAATCATTTTTTGATAAGTTCTAGAACTTTGTCTGAGGCTTAAGAATAATCAGCTAGATGACTGTGGGCCATCCACTCTACCTTTCTAGATATTTCTTTCCTCAAACACGGAAGTTATATTAAATAATCTTTTAAAGACCCCTTCAACCTCCATTCCGTTAGAGTAACTTGTCTGTGTGTATAGAATTATATCCCCTTTCTAGGGTGGGTACTTTGCCATTAAATTCTTTTACATCTGTCAGTTGGGCCTCAGTGGATTCTTGGCTGCATGGTGGGTTTCCGTGGCTTTTCTGACAGCCGCATTACTTGGGCAGGTGTGTCTGCTACGACTTGTCTATGGCAGGCTCTCAGGCTTTCTTCAGAATTTTGGTAGCACTTGGTACAGCATTTATCACATTGCACTATGATTTTTTGTTTTTCTTTTGTATCTTTTCCCACTCATAGGTTTTGAGTTTTTAATGGAGTCATCTTGATCTCTTCCGTGACTTACATAACATAATGCAAGATCATGCCATTAAGAAGGTGACTTAGAACTATGACTGTAGAGCTCAGGGACTCAAGAGAACTATGCAGAATCTTACTCGGTGTCAGCTTATACCTGTAAGAATTGTAGACCCTCCAAAAAGAAGAATTTGCAGAGAATTCAGGATGGAATCAAACAGTAAATAGATATTTTGAATCCAGTCTGTTGCAGCCTGGAGGGAAAGCCCAGCTTCACATCAAACTTGAGAATTAGTATAACTCAGAAACAAAGGACACAGACTCTGGAGTCATCGATCTGGGGACTTGAGAGATGTTCTTGACATAGAAGAGGGCTCTGCTCTCACTGTGGTCAGGAAGATCGGCAGGATGTCTAGGAACCAGCATCCTTGACTGCATCTCTCAGTCTCAGGCCCTGAGAAGATAAACTTCCCATTCTTTTGGGAAGTTCATCTCTAATTCTCTTGGGATGACATTGTTGAGTAAATATCTTTAACTCTGGGAAGAACTAGGGTTATAGAGGTGATGAAATAATTCAAACTGGAGATTTTTTTCTTCTTAAGTTTATTTAATATCCTTAAGAATTTGCCATTTTGAGGCTAAATGAGCATATATAACAGATTGGCCTTGTGGTTCCAATTTAAATCATGTAATTGGTTTAGAATCGTAATACGTTAAACTACACAAGAAAAAATTTCAAGTTTTTAAATAGTACTGGAATGTTTGCAGGAACCTTGGATTCATTATACTTATAGCTTAATTCACTGGTTTTGTAAGAGTTAAATATTTGGAAAGGTTTATCTGTAATTAGACAGTTGACATATTTAAAAAGAAAATTGAATAGATTATTTTTATAATAGAGCTAAAAAATTTAAAGCAACTGTTAAGTTTCAAAGACTCACCTGAAATTGGTTAAAATTTACCAGATTTACAAATAAAATAATAAGATTCAATTAGCTGAACTTAAAAAGCCTGTAAAAGTAGGCTTTTGAATGTGAAACAGTAACTTTGATAAATTAGATAATTAATTAAAAAAACCAAAGTAGCCCATGAATAATCTTTTCTGTGCACAAAAACCATCTGTAATGTTCCAAAAACCTTATTCAGTAAATAAATGAAGTACAGTGTTATAAGTCAGTGATGTTCTCTCTGAAAGCAGGCCATACTTGTTTTCGGTATTTTAAAAATATATGCCTCAAGATCAAAGTAATAGCATTACTTTCAAGTTATCTGTGTCAGGACTTTTTGATGATTCATTTGTTTATTACAGAGGAAAAAGCAAATTATCCCATATGTTTTTCAAGTGATACCAGGTGTGGCTTGGCCAGCGGTCAGTAGGGTTATCTGAAACAAATTAAACTGAAGCAGGTCCAGGTGAGCAGCTGTGTAGCTCTGGTGCCCAGGTGAGTAGAATGCCACCACAGCTCATCCGAATGTATCATGAATTCTTAGCCTTATACGTTCATTGCCAACCAGAGAAAGGCTTCCAGATCTTAAGTCTACTTGCATCCTGTATCTTAGAAGGCGGTCAGATGCCTTAATCTTCTGATTCTTTTCCTGCATTTCCTGTGTTGAAGCAAATACCTGCGGGTCTCCAATTCCTTAAAGGCATATCACCCCTGTACTCACAATTCTTTAGAACTTGCTGCTTTCATACTTTGATTTCACCCCAGTTCTTTGTTGTTGTTGTTGTTGTTGTTTTAACACTTTCTTTTTTATTGAGTTATAGTCAGTTTATAGTGTTGTGTCAAATTCCAGTGTAGAGCACGATTTTTCAGTTATACATGAACATACATGTATTCATTGCCACATTCTTTTTTGCTGTGAGCTACCACAAGATCTTGTATATATTTCCCTGTGCTATACAGTATAATCTTGTTTATCTATTCTACATATGCCTGTCAGTATCTACAAATTTCGAACTCCCAGTCTGTCCCTTCCTACCCCGCTCCCCCTGGCAATCACAGGTTTGTATTCTATGTCTATGAGTTTGTTTCTGTTTTGTATTTATGTTCTTTTTTTTACATTCCACATATGGTAATTTTCTTCCTCTTTCTGGCTTACTTCACTTAGAATGACATTCTTCAGGGACATCCA